GGGGAGTGGATGAGGGCGGCCGCCGAGTAGAAGAAGACGCTGAGGTCGAAGGTGGGCAGGTCGTCGGCCTCGACGCCGTGGTACTCGATGGCCATGTCGCGGTAGTAGTCAGGCCCGGTGTCTACGTTCCAGCGACCGTGGGCGGCGTTCAGCACGTGTGTGAAACCCGCCTTCTGCAGCCGGTAGCGGTCCAGCGCCGTCGCCCTGGGCCCAAGGGACAGAAGTCAGGGGTGGGGGGGTGGAGGTGGGGGGGGTGACTGCTCTGCACCCCAACATGGACTTAGGTTGGCAGTGGGGAATTTAGGGGCCGCCTACGGATTTCTGTCACCAGTTCTGGTTTACAGAGTAGGGACTAGTCATTGCTAACAAAAGCCAAAAGCCTTGGCCTCACGGATCCCTGGGACACCCGCGCGCCATTTCGTGTGCCTGGCTCTGCTGCTGAGGGCAGGGGGGTCTGGAGGGAGCTACTCTTCTGTGCGTTCATACTTTCCTCTTTCACTGGGACAGCAGAGCTTCTGCTGGACACTACGGTGGTCACAGGACCGCCAAATTCCCCTAGTACTATCAAATCTTTCTAATGCCTGGACCTGCCAAATTCCCCTAAGGAACGAAATTGTCCTTGAGGGCCAACTTTCCCAGAACCTCAGGAAACGCTAAAGTGGGCCTCTCCTGTTTTTCCCCCATAGGGCAAGTGTGCTTACTCCAGAGGGAGAGAGAGGAATCATCCCCCATGGGGAGAGGGCTACCCTGTATTCCTTTCTCCTCCATTCTCGTCCTGGGATTTGGAGCGCACACACACACACTTGCCCTGTGGGATTTTCAAGTGACCAAGTCCCGGGCACCAATCGCAGTAGGCCATGCCGGAGTCCAGTGCCTTAACCACCAGGCTGTCTGCTGGTCCCCTGGGGCCTCTCATCTGAACCATCTGGGTATTGGGGCTCAAATGGTTATCTTATAGCAAGTCTTTTTGAGAAGGATTTGATGGAAATTGAACACAATTCTTGAATCGATGTCGGCAGGATTGGTGCACGCCCTTGCTTTGGTGAGTGAGCCCTTCGCCTAGTTGGGGAAACCATTCTTCTGAGGAGAGCTTTTTGTTGTTTGAACTAATACAAAGAAGTTCCTGAGCTAGCAGTGAAGTTATTTACTGGCTTGTAGCCTTATCTTTTTAGGCAAGAATTTCCAGGAACAGAGTGTAACATCGCATTATGGGAGGTGGCCTTGAAGCATGTCCGACTCAAAGGCAGCATGGTAAGGGGTGGGGTGGAGGTACGAGTGGGCTAGAGGAAGCAGGAGTCATTTCTGCCTGGTTGGGGTGGAGCGTGCTTTCTGGGAGAGGGGCCTTTGAGCCTGCCTTACAACCAATGTCAACACTTGGTGATGGAGGGGAGGAGGAGACCAGAGCTTACGGAGAGGAGGAAATAGCACCATGGCAGGTATGGGGGCTGGAGGTAACAGAGGCCTTTCAGAAAACTTGGTTTCTTATCATCAATCACTTACCCCAAATAATGATTTACAATCTCAGTGTGCCAGACACTGTCCTGGGCATCGATGATGCAAATATGAATGTCGAAGCTGAGATTTCAATGGGGATAGGAAGTGAACAAGTGAATAAATGAAGTCATTTCAGATAGTGGTAAGAGCCGTGAAAGAACTAAAACTGTGATGTCATACAGAAGGTCCGAGGTCCTGCTTTAGGTAAGGTGGTTGATGAAGGCCTCTGTGGGGAGGAGCATTAAAGCTAAGACATAGGAGGAATGAGAGAGTTGGTGGGGGAAGCACTGGAGGGAAAATGTTACATTCACACAGAGGGAACAGCAGGTGCTAAGAAAGAAGAGAGCAGTGTGGCTCTAGTAGCAAGGGGGTAATGGTACAAGAGGGAGTTGGAAAGGTAGGCAGGGGCTGGATTGCCTTGGGCCCTGCAAGCCATAGCACGGACTTTGGGTTTTTATGCTGGAATGTCAATAGAAGGTTTTGAGGAGAAGGTGATATATTCCCTTTTGTTTGTTTAGTAGATTTTTTGCCATAGGGCTCATGTACTTGCCTGAGAGAGAGACAGAGACATAGAGAGAGAAAGTGAGAAATCACCCCTTGAAAGGATACCCATGCCACTATCCCTACTTCTCCATTTTCCTCTCAGGATTTTGGGCACGTACGCATACACACCCAGCTTGGTTTTTAAGCCTGCAGGTCTAGGACTCAAACCATGGTTGGTCATGTGAGAGTCCAGAACCTTAACCACCATGTTACCTGCTGGCCCCAATATGTTTCCTTCTTAAAGATCAGTCTGGTTGATGTGTAGAGATAGATTGGAAAGGGGCAAAATATAAAAGTGGGAAGATCTGTTGGAGGCTCTTGGAATTGTATAGCCAAGAAGATGGCTTGGACTTGGGTGATGTCACAGAAAGACTTGCTGATGGATTGAGAATGGGGGTAAGGAGGAAGGAACTGATATGGCTAGAGCAGAGGATGTGAGGAGAAGAGGAGGGGAAGTTCTGGAGAGGAAATATGGGGTTTGGTCATAAAAGCACGTGGATGCCAGCATCTGAATTTGGGGGTTGGGGTTCACTCTAATAAGTGTTTGAGGAGGGGTGATCCAATTTGGGCTTTCAGAAGATATCTTCCTCAACACAAAAACTGAGTTTTAGCTCAGAGAAGAGGTGGCAAGGGTCTGGAACATAGCTAAGAGGACAAAAGTGGCTTTATGTTCCAGCTGAGGGCTCATCTCAAGGCCACTGGACAGAGGATATGCATAGAAGTGACTATGTTGGATCCAAGCATGGACCAACCCCCAGGCCAAGAGGAGCCCTTCCCCAGAAACACATACCACAGTCCATTGGCCAAGGATGCCCTTGTCTATTTCTGATTTTCTAGAGCTTTCTGTTTGCCATGTAAGGGAACATGGTGGGGTTTGGGGAAGAGAGACCTGAACATAGGCACTGAGCATTTAGAACCATTTGCAAACAGCCCATTGGAACTGCAGCCTTGGGAGGAGGAGAGTCCCTGTAGGCCCCCCTCCCCTCAGGTGGCTCTTGGTGTTTCCATCCTGATGATGGAACACATTCTGCTTTCAATTTTTCCTCAGAAAGGTCTGTTTTTTGTTTGTTTTTGTCCCAAAGTATGTATACAAAAGCATGCTTTTGGGACATAGGTCTGTGCTCAATTAAAGCCTCCACTAATGCAGTCTGCCTTGCCGAGTAGCAATCAACCTCACTTTGAGGTTGAGCTCAGTGGAAAAATTAAAATGAACTGTCCTTGACAGGGCGCTCCTACCCACTGTAAAGACTGTTTTCTCTGGGTTCAGCAACTGGGTTTCAACAGAATCAACTGGCAGTTGAATAAATACCAGTTTGCCCTTTGCTGCTTTTGAGGTCAAGGGTCAGGGAAGATCTGCAACACGATTCATTGCACGGTACCTCCATGTTCACCCTACCAGGCTGGCTTGGGTTGTGACTCAGGGAGAGGAAAGTCAAAGGAAGATTATGCCTTGGGAGTATT